GTACCGCCCCGCGGCGGCTCCTTCCGTAAACGGCGCTCGGTAGCGCAGCGTGGCGACCTCCAGAAGTGTGAGGTGTCCTGGGCGAAATGAGGTTTATAATGTTGTAAAGCAGTTAAGCTGGTAGTGCTGCCTGCAGCCCAAAGCAGCTTCTCATGATGATAGAATCATAGAATCATAGAATGCTTAGGGTTGGAAGGGACCTCTAGAGATCATCTAGTCCAACTCCCCTACATACGCAGGGACACCTATGATCTCTGAATTCACGCTCTCTGTCCCTTTTGGCACAGGGAGAGCAAAGGGCCTTTGCATTTAGTTCTTATGCTTTCATTACTGCCAAGTCGACCACTGCTTTGAATATGCAGAGTACCAGATGCGCTAGGCTTGAAGAGGGCAGGGAGTTCTTCCTCAGGCCAGGTGTTACCATGAGTTATTGAAGCTGCCCGTGCTCAAACAAAAGGGGATTGTCATTGGATTGTCATTAGAGCAGAGTTCCTGGTCAGTGAAACAGACTGAGGGAAAGTGGACCTCCCTCTGCGACTTAAACCTTTGAAGCAGGAGGTTTGTCTACCGTGACAACACAAAATTAAGACTCTAAGCTTATGTTCGTGTTTGTGAAGTTGGCCTGGTTTCCTCATCTTCACCGGTCAGTTCAGATTTTGGCAGAGTTTATGGATGGCCAGTGCTTTATCAGTAAGACTGCCCCTCAGAATGTGGGATTTTAGATGTGGTCATTAGTATACTTAGAACTACCTCATGCAGAGATGTCATATAACTGGTTTTGGAAGTGAAACCACAACAATAAATCATGTCTATAATTCTGTTATATTGGAAGAAACAAAAGCATCTGTACCAGGCACCCCCAGGTGTAGATTTTGAAGACTGATATAATACTCTTTGTAGCATTTGAGCTGGGAAATGCAACACGGACATCAAGATGGCCTTTGCTGTAATCATCCCCTTCTCCTCCCTGTCTTGCAGGTTACGTTATCTACCGCGTCCGTGTTCGCCGTGGGGGCCGTAAGCGCCCCGTCCCCAAAGGTGCCACCTACGGCAAACCTGTGCACCACGGCGTTAACCAGCTGAAGTTCGCCCGGAGCCTTCAGTCTGTGGCAGAGGTGACTGCTTTGTTACTGCTCAGAAACCTGGGAGAAGGGAGGTCTCGCTTGCTAAAATGGAAGATACTCGGGCAAAAAGTTACCAGTTAATGTGCTAGGTAGAAAAACTTAAATAGTGGTATCAGGAAAGCACTGAAATGTGTTTAAAAAGTTGAGCTAGGAACAGTGAAAAAAAAATCCTTATAAAGATGAGAGGGGAATAAGAGTATTTCTTATGTGGCTTGTGGAAGTTTCTGGTGTATGTTTATCTAAAGTGTGACACAGTGGGTGTAATGAAAAATAGATGCATAACTAGTATAAGATGCGAAATAAGAGAATGTCGAGAGATATAAGAGGCATGAGAAGTCAAAATTCAGATACATTAAGGGGTCTGAATTCAGTCATGACTTTTCGTAGTTCAAAGTAATCATCCCTCGTGCTGAATTTCTGTAGTAACATGGCAGTTCCAGTGTGCATGTAAAGCATGTTTTCAGTCTTAGTTTTCCGGAGAGTTGTAGCAGTACCATTGAAGAGCAGCTCAGCTTTCCAAGAAGAAAGGCTACATGTGTGAAGTGAACTCAGCATGGGCCATATAATGAGGTGCAGAAGATTGATACAGCATAGGAAAAAGATCTTAACAGGCTGTAAGATCTTTAATAAATAAATGGGGTTTCTTAGCCTGTGCTTTTTTATTACTAGCTTTAGATAATGATCCCTTCGAAGGGCAGTAACTCATCTGAACTCTAAATTCATTAGCACCTGGTTTTATAGCAGTAGTGTTGTACAATATACTTGGCTAGTTTGTAGGCTCTGAAGTTAAAGGCTAGTGCCAGAAGATCCCTGGCCTGTTATAAAAGCCGTGGTACCTCAAGAGCTCAAATATCAGTGGTATAACCTTTATGTATAGTGTTTTTTATAGGCTAGAATACTGAAAATAAAAACTTTTATTAGATGAGACCTTAGCTAAATTTCATAATGTCACAGTAGTAGTGGAGTTGAGAAGGCGTAGTTCTTGCCCGTGGAAAAGTATTTTATTCCTTCCCATGGGTTAGGTTAATTTTGTGTCTCTTTTCAGTCTGCAGATGAGTACATCGTGAAATGTTAGGGACTATTCATTGCCCTTATGTCCTTCAACAGAAGGCTTTTCCGTTTCCAAAACTTGGGAAAATTCTCCTTGTAAGCAGGCTTCAGACTTTGCTGCCCTGTGTTAGTGATGTCTTTGGCATGTGTTATGGCATAGAGCCTCAGCAGATTGCATGTGGGGCTTATTTAAAATAATAAATGGGACATGTTAATTAAAATAATCACTCATATTTGTTTTAAAGATAAAAATGTCTTGAGCACTGAAAACACAGAATCACGTGCTCTTAGTATGTGGTGTTCCAGATAACTGGTGGCTAATGCAGAGTCTCTTTTGGCCATAGCTCTGCCTGTGGAGGACGTTATTGACCCTCAGTTTTGGTCTTAAACTTTCTGAATCTCAGAATTGCTCTTTACTGCAGGATTTCTATTTTTCAGATAAAAATATTAGAAAAATATAAAACTGTGATAGTAGCAGTCATCTCCATCCAAAAAAGCTAGTTAAAAGCAGTTGATGTTTAATGCTTAATATATGTGATGTGCCCACATGCTAGAGTGATCCAAGGACTCAAATTATAATTTTGTGTGGAGGAAATAGTCTTAACTTAGTGAAAAACTGTAGAAGTGGGTTGGGTTGCAGTGGGATGGAGGATGGATAGGATCTCTTGGTTCATACCTTACCACGATGATCAAGTCCTATGGCTGGGTGGACTTGCAGTATTTAGCCCTGAAATCAATATTTTTGACAAAAGAGACAAGAATTGTTACGGAATTGATACTTCCTACTTTAATTTTTGTTTGCTAAACCAATTCCACTTCTTTCCAGTTATAACTGAGGATAGGAATAGCAAATACTAATAGCAGAGGAACAAACAGGGGAACCTGTTACATCAGCTCTTTCTCCTATCAAAGCTGGCTTATTCTCTACAGAAATGTTTTTCTTTCCTCTAGCTTTATATTTTCAAATTGATCAGTATTTCATAGTTTCCCACAAAAGATTGGTTTACGTCCTTCTATGTGAAAACTGCCCCTGCTTCCGTGATTCTGTAGATGTTTGATTATACTTTTTTCCACAGGAACGTGCTGGCCGTCACTGTGGGGCCCTGAGAGTCTTGAACTCCTACTGGGTGGGTGAAGACTCCACGTACAAATTTTTCGAAGTGATCCTCATCGATCCCTTCCACAAGGCCATCCGGCGCAATCCCGACACGCAGTGGATCACCAAGCCAGTCCACAAGCACCGGGAGATGCGCGGGCTCACGTCGGCCGGGCGCAAGAGCCGCGGCCTGGGCAAGGGCCACAAGTTCCACCACACCATCGGCGGCTCGCGCCGCGCGGCCTGGCGGAGACGCAACACCCTGCAGCTGCACCGCTACCGCTGAGCCGCGCCGCGGTAGCCACCCAATAAAGCTTGTGCGGGCTGTCCACTTTAACAAGGGCTTCTGCTGCTTCTTTGCGCGCTTGGAGAAGCACGTGGTTCGTTCAGCTGCCTCCGTATCTCGAGAGGTGGTTAAAAACGTTACTTGGTAGCTGGGGAGGGCCAGGCCCCAAGCAGAGTTCTGTGATGATTTTTTTTTTTCACTCTTACTAAGGCTGAAAGGCTGAATTGAAAATTCAATGGCTAGACCTCATCCTCCTCCTGTTGGTAGGAGGATACTTTCTCACTTTCTACACATGGGCGTCTCTGTCCTGTGCTTACGCTGAAGGCCAGCTTCGATCTTGTGCAATGAGATGTAAATTGAAAGTGCTAGCTTTTATAGCTAATTAAATGATAATGACAGTTTTATTTCCAAGTTCTGTCTTTTGGTATGTTCTTCACTGTGAAAGCAGCTCTTGAGCCTGTGTCTGCAAAGGTAGATAGCTAAGATAAGCTAAGCAGAAAGCTAAGATAATTCATTAAACTTCATGATCAGTAAAGTATATAGTTTTTAAATAGGGACCATGCAATGCTTTAGGTTGTATGCCGAGATATTTACCATAGAGTATTTCATTTAGGTAGGGTTTCAAGCTGTTCACTTTATAATGGTAACAAGAGTCTCTTAGATGTTCCTGAGAGGACTAGAGAACTTCTCTGTGGTGTTACAGGCTCCTCAGCCACATTCAGGTTTATGCTGCACAGGTAGATGGTGGAAATCCGACTTTGGATAACTGGCAGTTACAAGGTGTTTTAAGGTGCATTTTTGTAAAATGCCCTGTGACCTTTCGCCACAGAGTTTGCTCAAATGACATGCTGAGAGTGGAGTAACTGCCTCTTCTGGTAGAGCAAGCTGCACAGTTCCAGGCTCCGTGGGTTTCATAGCAGCCTGCAAGGATGGCAGCAGGAAAGGCATGAACAGAGGGCCTCCAAAGGGCTCCAGCGGGGCGGGCAGGTTTAGGAAAAGGAAAAGGCGCAGGGACTGAAATATCCAAGACTTGCCATGTGACTGAAAAAACAGAAGAGCTTATTTGGCTGCTTCATTGAAGGTCTAAAGGACAAAGCTTTTTGGCAGCACGTTCAAGTTGGGAAGGACACATCAATAAGGTTCTTGCAGGCATTCCTTCCATACCGAGTTTTGGCTGAGTCAGGAAAAAAAAAAAATCCAAGGATTCTTCTGTGGCTTTGTTAAATGCTACTGATTTTTGAATAAGGAAGATCATTTTTAAAAATGGTTTTTAAAATGTTTTTTTTTTTTTGCCACCTTTTCTATAAGGAAGTGGAGTTGGTATTGAAAGCAGTCTGTGCTTTGATGTAGGGCAGGGATTGGAGGGTCCCGAGTGCAGACTCCGTGAACAAGATCTCCCCTCAAGCACAGAAGGCAAGAGAGCAGAGAGGGGGCTGCTGCTCCCCTTCTGGGCTTTCAAGGGCTTAAGTGGTGCAGACGCATCCATTTTTTAAGGTGACAACCTTGAGGTTGGCAGTCAGCAGCCTGTGTTGACCTAAGCTCCCCAGGGTGCTTGCTAGCAAGGAGGCAAGGATGGTGCTGCGTGATGGAACCACCAGCACTGAGGCTGTGTCAGTTGCCAGAGTCAAAACCTCCCTGGGGAGGGCAGAGATTGGCTTGTCTTCGGTGAAACTTGATTGAGATTTCCTGGAGCTTTTCTAGCTTTCAAGGAGCTAGTCCCTTCAAAGTTCTTTGAAATCTATTGATGAACATAAATACCTTGTTATCCTCTATCAGGCCAGTTAAGTAATTTGAAAGAGGTGGTATTTGTTTCAGGGGGAACTCTAGATAGGGCTCCTCTAAAGTCTCCAGGAAATTGGGTTGCCTTAAAAGCAGCATCTTCTCACCCAGGACATGTCTCACACTATGTTTTAAGCACACTAAGTGCTAAGTTTTGTGTTCTGGGGCTGAAAGGAGGATGAATTGCAGTAGATTTGTGTGAAGAGCAAAGGCAGATTTTCTGCTCCTCCCCACCCCTTTTATTAAAGCTTGCTTTTTTTAAAAGGGAAAACTAAGGAAAAACTAAGGTTTAGAGTTGTGTGCTTGAGATGCCTGGCCTATAGAGAAGTTTATAAAGAAGTTTTGTGGTATCTTTCCAGTTGATTTTTAGCCTTTGGGGCAAGTTAATAGATCGCAGATCTGTTTGTGTATGATGAATTTTGTTGAAAATCAATTATCTGAGATCTGTTAGTAGTTGCAGTGGGAGAGGCCATGATTTGAGTTCCACCAAGGATCTCCTGTGACGCAGATGTTAAGCTCCAGCCCATGAGGAAGGGGAGGCAGCAGCAATTCCACTTGTGAAATGCATTAGAGACCAAGGAATCTGGTTTTCAGTTTCCAGGGCACCTATTCTGCTTGTCTGCGCATGAGGCTACGTATTTATCAGCCTGAACAGACATGTTTTAAAAATAATCAAGAGAAACCACCTGGTCCTTTCAAGGTCAACCAGGAGTATCCCAGTTACAGCCACATTGTGAGACTATGTATTTATCAGCCTGAACAGACACGTTTTAAAAATAATCAAGAGAAACTACCTGGTCCTTTCAAGGTCAGCCAGGAGTATCCCAGTTACAGCCACATTTCTCTGGAGTTTATGGGAACAGCTTATTTCAGACTGGCAGTTGCTGTCAGAAGTAGTTGACTGTAAGCTTTTATTACATTGTGGATTTACATATATGTGTGTGCAAATTACCTAGATTAATCAGTTAGCATTTGGTAGAAGATGAGGGCCTGACAAGCATTCGGCCACCGTTCAAACCTAATTCTGTCCTCCCAACGGGTAGGATGCGTAAAAACAGATTGTGTAAATTAGCAAATGTTCTTTGAATAAGCAAGTCATGAGCTGCCTTCCATGTTGCTAATAGATGTGCTCATTACTCGGCAGTACTGAGCAAGCCGAATAGTACAGGCCATGCTAATCAGCGGGGAGGGCAATTAGTTGATTTTGGCGCCTCCTAAGCACGGGAGCTGTTCTGCGCAGGAGGGTGGCAGCGCCCTGCAGCCTCCCTGCAGCTGGGTGGGCGCCAGGGCCTGGCTGCCGCGCGGGGCGCTGGCGCGGCGCGAGCGATACCGAGATTTACCCTTATCATTGTCCTTGCAATGCAGCCGCTGTTCAATAGCCTTGACCCAATAAAAAAGCGAGAGCAAGTAAGCAGTCCCATCCATCTAGCTAGCTAATGATCAAAAAGCTGGTCTCTAAAAATAGGCTGATATCCTAGCCTTTTATCTGCTTATTCCCCAAAATGGGTAAAACCCTCTCTATCCTAGCACAGCTCTTTTCTTTCACAACACCGATAAAGGTAGTTCTGAGAGTATCAAGCTGAAAGACCTAGATCACTGGAAACACAATCATAGCCCAAACAAAGCAAATCGGGTATGAACTGATGAATATTTTCTGGTGTTTTAAATAAGCACCAGCTTCTGGAGCCAATCCTTTTTAAGTGAGTGCTTGAAGTCTATAGGTCTGTAAAAGGACAGAGAGTCTCTTTGTTGTTTGTAACCTCCTATGTCAAGGTTCTGAATCAGCCTTGATTTAATAATTACACGTGGGATGTATAGGTTGCAAGGGCTATCTCTCTAAAGGTAGGAAGTGATTGAGCTACGTTTCTGATGCAACATTTAATTTTGTGGCTGTCGTGCTCTTACCCAACACACCGGCAGAGGCCTCTGGAAAGCCAGGTTTGGAACCCAGTTCTGGGCCCTTCGTTGCTGCCAAAAAATTTGACAGCACATTCTTTTCCTCATTATCAATTGATATTTAGTCATATAATTAAAGGCTTTTATGTAATAAAGATGATGTTTAATAGCACTAAGTACTGTAAACTCTCCATCATGCAGGGAAATGGAGAGTTGCTGTACCATGGAGGACACCGGCTCACGTGTGAGCAGATGAGTGATCGGTTTAAGCATGGTAAGATCTGTGCTGCCTTGGAGCTCTCTCGGGTCAGACCCTCAGAGCCTGCTCAGGTCTGACCACGTTGCCTTCTACTAAAGGTACTAAAGGTTAAAAAATACTTAAGGTTAATACGCTGGCCCCGAGCTGGCTGCTCAAGGGTTGTGCAGCCTGTGCAGGGCTCTGAAAGAGCTGTAGAGGCATCGGTGCAGACCCGAGTGGGCTGCTTGTGTTCAAGGTGAGACATTCCCTTGGAAACAGAAGAGACGAGAGGCGCGCTGAGGAGAAAAAGAACAAATCAAAGGGGGAAAGAAAGGATTTGGGGCACTGCTTAGCCCCGTGAGCACAGTGCAGTCCCTGGGTTATAAACTTGGCCTCACTGGAGCTGTTTTGCCGTTGAACTAGCCCGGTGTGGCTGCAGGAACATTAATCCGCAACCCGGGTAAACCTAGAGGGTGTCTGCGCTGCACCTAACGCGCCTCTGCGAAGGGTGTGCTGTGTAATGCGCTGCTGGGACGCTGCGTTTGCTCGAGTCCTCCCATTCCCAGACCCTGTAAAGAGGCTGCACGCCAGTAGCCAGTGCAGCAGACAGAAATTAAGATCTCTTACGCTCTGCACTGTGCTCAATCACAGAACAAAAATGCGTCCCCATCCCTGAAGAGCTCATGCACTAAGTATAGGAAGTCGCTTATTAGTGCAGTGTTCACTCATTCATTTATGCACACAAACATTTTTCTCCCAGCATAGCTTTTCTGTGACTAACAAGCAATTATTTGCACCCTTTCCTCGTACAGGAATCAAAGTAATTTGGCTCATCCGCTGTTAGGATCTCCCTGCCTTTCTTGCAGGTTTCATTACTAGCCTGAAGAATTTAGATAGAGAGTTACTTAACTAGTATAAATCCACTGCATAGATGAGCTTGGGTTATCTTTTTTGATAGGGAATGACACAAAATATGGTTCATCTGTACTCAGTAAAAAAAAGAATAGAGGCAAAGTAGATAATACCTCTAAAATTAGGAAGAAGAGTGGATGTAGAAGGAACTTTCCCAACTGATTATTTATAAGAGTAAAATATGTAAATCAATTGATCCTGTTGATGTTGCACAATCT